CGAGCCGAACTGGTAATCCGGACGGGCCGGAACCTGACTTGATCGGACCGATGATTTAAAAAGATTAAATAAATCATTAAAAAAAATATAAGTAAATAAGAATAAATTTAAAAGAAATTATGCTTGACCGTGTGTACGGTAAGTAATAATGTATGACTGCTTGTGATTGGGGAACCTTATCAGGGTAGATGGCATAGCACTGACATTACTCGGATGGGTTCGGGTACTGTTTAAAAGAATAAAATAATAATAATAAAAAAAAAGAAAATAATAATAATAAAAAAAATAAATAACTAATGAGATAGATGATCCCGAAATTTGACCGAGTCGATCTAACCTTAAAGCCAAAATTTAACCAAAATATGACTAAATTTTGTTCGAACCGGACCATACATAGTTCGGACCAATTATATGACCGGGTAAGTATTAATCTCGGGACGAGCCGAACTGGTAATCCGGACGGGCCGGAACCTGGCTTGATCGGACCGATGATTTAAAAAGATTAAATAAATCATTAAAAAAAATATATAAGTAAATAAGAATAAATTTAAAAGAAATTATGCTTGACCGTGTGTACGGTAAGTAATAATGTATGACTGCTTGTGATTGGGGAACCTTATCAGGGTAGATGGCATAGCACTGACATTACTCGGATGGGTTCGGGTACTGTTTAGTGTGTGACTGTAGATGGGTCAGGGTAGATGGCATAGCACTGACATTACTCGGATGGGTTCGGGTACTGTTTAGTGTGTGACTGTAGATGGGTTTTTGAATGATATCACCATGATTGCATTGACTGTAAATCTTCGCGGTATGATATTCGATCCGGATCGATTATCATCTCGCGGAGATGTGATTGTGATTGTGGCGATCTTCGATCGCGCCATCGTTCCCTGACGGACGGTTGTGGCATCCTACGACTCACATATTCGGGTTTGCGTTTGTCACTGATAACACGTATTTTGGGTGACGTTTTGATATAGGATGTCTAGCGTATTTCACTCTATTTTACATATTTGTAGGCATTCTAGGGCACATT